GAACAATTTTTAATTAAATTTTAGAATAATGGGGCCGAATTCCACCTAGTGGCCAACTCATCCCCCCCTTGTTTTTGGTTTAATTTTGAACAATTTCCTTTATGTTTGGATTATTTGTTGGTGATTTGTTTTTGGATATTAAGTTTTTATTAATTACCATCCTTGAATACGTAAATTATTTTGAATGGATATTTGTTTTAGAACTTTTATGCATAAGACCGATTCAAATTAATTTTTATTTCTAGGTATGACTTGTGGGAAAGTTAGTTGTCTAGCAGATAATGCAACCACGCACATCGTTTTGCGTGAACGTATCTATTTCACTAACTTCATACCTAAGAATACACCTCTGACAACCCTCTCAGGCCCATCCAACCTGATCGAAGGATACAATAAGTCACGTATAATGTTGTCCAATGGTACAATCTTAACCATTGATAAGGCACTTTATTCTCTACATTCTGGAAGAACATTGTTGAGCTTCAAGGATATTAGAAATAATAATTACCATACTAAAACCTATGTAGAAAACGGAGTTGAATTTCTATGCATCACTTCCTACGAATATGGCTAGAAGCGTATTCTAGAGAAGATAGAGCGTGTTCCGAGTGGTTTGTATACTACGACCATACACCATATAGAAAGCCACTATGTGGCTGGCCCTACCTCTGGGACCACGCACAAAATTACACTTTGGTATGATAGTTTAGGACACCTTGGACTATCAGCAATATGTCGTATCCTCAAATCATCACATAGGAATCCACTAACCTGAAGTTTAGGTTCGATTCAAGGAATCACATGTCAAACCTGCTCCATGGGAAAGCTCATTATTAAGCCTTCTTATGACAAGATTCCTTCGAATCCTTCTATTTTTCTACAAAGGATTCATGGGACAGTTATGGACCGATTCATCCTCCATGCAGACCATTTAGATATTTTAAGGTTTTGTTTGACGCTTCCACACGTTGGTCGCACGTGTGCTTGTTGTCCACAAAGAACGCTGCATTCTCCAAACTCTAGGCTCATGTTTTCAAGCTCAGGGCTTACCACCCTAATTATTCGATCAAATCTATTCGATTAGATAATGTTGGAGAATTTACATCTAAAACTTTGATGACAATTGCATGTCGGTTGAGGTTGAAATTGAACATCCAGTACGCCATGTTCACACCCAGAACAGCGTCGCAGAGGCATTCATTAAGCTCTTACAAATGATTATTCGATCATTGGTCATACGTACCAAGCTCTCAATCGTTGCTTGGGGCCATGCAATATTGCACTCAGGCATGTTAGTCCGCTTGAGGCTTGTTGCAACGCAACCATATAGTGCCCTTCAGTTGGTTACCGGATACGAACCCGACATATTGCATCTGCACATTTTTGGTTATGTGGTCTAAGTGCCAATTTCGCTGCCCTTATATACAAAAATAGGGCATCAGCGAAGGATGTGAATCTATTTTCAGATATGATTATCCTTCAATCATTCATTGCTTAGAACCTTTGATAGGCAATCTATTTACTGCTTGTTTCGCGGAATGTCACTTTTATGAGACAGTCTTCCCGTCGTTAGGGGGAGATAAGAATGTCAACGTTCCTGAAGAATGACGCGAATTATCGTGGACGACTCCCACTTTGTCTCATTTAGATCCCCACCCTGCTCAATCTAAGACTGAAGTGCAATGCATATTAGATCTTTAAAGCGTAGCTCAAAGCATGCCAGATGCTTTCACCGATCTAGCGCAAGTGACATGATCACATATTCTAGTTGCGAATGTGCTTGCAAAGATGGATGTACCAAATGTACCGACTTCCCTCATGGAGGCCCGGGATGCCACTTTGGCTAATCCATGTACATTAGCAGCAAGCCAATCATCTACCCCTACACACAAGAGTGGCAGACCACTTGGTTCAAAAGATACACACCCCTGGAAGAGGAAACCCACAACACAAGCCCCTGAAGAGTCTACCATGAATTCGACTGTCGCCTACTCATTCTATCCAACTTATGAGGAAATTCTAGATTACAGAATAGTCCTTGAAGAGACAAATCTACCTCCTGAGAATCGTGATTTCGGTCCATTATGCTAGCTTGGATGATGTTTAGTGTAAAAATGAGATGATCGTTGACGATGCATTAACATAGTGTCTAATTCAGTGATCGAAGCATCCGAGATAAATCTTTAAGTAGAAAAAGTTTACGAGGGCTTAATAGGGACTTAGACCATGACTTGTCCTGATATTACATTATGGTTACCAAGGCAGTAGCTACTGAGATCATGTTGAGCGATGACATTGAACACTATTCCGTTGATGAATGTCGACGTAGAACTGATTGGTCAAACTGAAAATAAGCAATCCAAGTCAAACTCGATTTGCTTGCGAAACATAAGGTGTTTGGATTTGTAGCTCTTACTCTGCCATATGTAAAAGCCCGCTGGCTACAAGTGGGATTTCGTTCGGAAGCGTAATGAGAAGAACAAAATTGTGCGTCACAAAACTTATCTTGTTGCGCAAGGCTTCTTACAATGCCCTAGGATTGACTATGATGAAATTTATTCATCCGTTATGGATGTGATTACTTTTCGCTACCTTATCAGTTTGGTAGTTTCTGAAAAACTGAGTATGTAGCTGATGGATGTAGTAACTGTGTATCTCTATAAGGATCTTGATACGGGCATTTATATGAAAGTTCCCAAAGGACTTACATTGACTAGATCAAATATTTCCCAACCCCGAAACACGCTCTCAATTCGACTGAGCGTTCACTCTATGGTTTGAAGCAATTCGGAAGAATGTGGTATAATCGTCTGAGTGAGTTTTGACTAGTCAGGGATATGTGAAGAATGAACTATGCCCTTGTGTGTTCATTAAGAAGTCACATTTCGGTTTTGCAATTGTTGTAGTATATGTCGATGACATGAATCTCATCAAAACTCCTGAAGAGCTCGCGAGAACTGTCACGCACATAAAGTCAGAATTTGAGATGAAAGATCTTGGAAATATTCAATATTGTCTCATTCTCAACATAGAGCACCGTTCGGATGGAATCTTAGTACATCAATCGAACTACACCCAGAAGGTGTTGCGGCTCTTTAATGAGGTTAAAGCGAAGCCTTTGAGTACTCCTATGGTTGTTCAATCGCTAGATGCAAAACAAGATCCCTTCCGTTCAAATGAGGATGATGAAGAAATTTTGGAGCCTAAAGTTCCTTATCTAAGTGCGATAGGCGCTCTATTGTACTTTGCTCAATGCACTAGACCCAACATCTCTTTCGTTGTTAATCTTTTGTTAAGATACAGTAATGCACCAACATGCAGACACTGGACTGGTATTAAAGACATCTTTCGCTACCTTAAGGGTACCATGGATTTGGGCTTGTTCATTTTCCCACTAGGTTTTTGCTACCTAACAAGGTTTTGACGGGGCACCCACCTTTGGTTGATCATATCCCTGATGACATCCCGTGGACATTTCATTTGACTTTGCATTACTCACCCATTTTTCCTTAGACTATGGATTTTTTCCCTACTTGGGTTTTTACCATAGCCTTAGGGATTTTTATTTTTTTATTTTATTTTTTTATTATTTTATTTTATTTTTTTTGAGACTTAGTTCCTTATGTAAGTTCCAACCTTATTGAGAATAGCGTGTTCCCATAATCAGTGTCGACGAGTTGACTTCCTCAACTACTACATGATGCCGAATCTACTTGAGTATTTATACACTCAAGGGGGAGTTATAAACTTATTATTTAAGTGTGATTGTGTAAATCCTAGATTAGATTTGATTCTAGTTATTCTTCCCTATTAGGACTTGTATTCCTTGGAGGAGAAGGATTTCTTCTCTCCATTATTACTATAAATAAAGGCACTGTGTAGTGGGAGTAACACATCTCTCTCTATATTTTCTCTATGCCACCGGTCCCCTCTCCCTGTCAGTTAAATATAGGCCACAACAGTTTTCAGTTTTTTTGAAAACTTTCAAGTCTTGTATGATAACCAAAAATAGTAATCGAGCAAACTTTAAAAAGAGTACAAACACAAACTAAAATTCAAAGGGTGGTACCATCCAAATGCCTCTCTCAAATTTCTGCAATCAAATTGAGTGAATTAAAAATAATCACCAAAAATTAACAAATGGTGTTTGAAAGGTAAAAAGAGATGTGTGAGTAGGTTGCAGTCTGCTGTGCCATTTTATGTGTCTCCTCCTTGTCTTATGACTTAACTAAGAGATATTTTTGTTAACTTTTATATTTGGCACTTAAAATTTAAAAAAATAATTCTAAAATACGAAGAAATACGTGAGCATCGTATGGAGGTCCGTTTCAAGGAAAACCTAGCAAAACTCTAGCACTCTTCATCTTTAGTTTTTTTTCCCTTGATGTTGGTTAACAAGGTGAGCAAAGCTCCCAATCTTTTCACCATCGTTGTATTGCTATTTTTTGTATACCAATTAAAATTTGAATGGAAACTTTAGCGTATTTTCTTGTGCAACACCTAGTTCAACATATCCAATCCTTGAGAGTTAACAACATACACACAATCTCAAGTGAATATGAATTCTCTCGATGAGCACCTAATACGAGTACTTGGCCGCCCTATCGGATAATTATAAAGTTCTTCATTCGCCTACTCAACTTTTCACCAGTTGGCAGCAGTATTCCGTTTCTTCGAATCGTTTTTTCTTCATGAGATTTATTGATTGTCATTTCGTTGGATAGCAACCTCTACACACACTTCAATGGCAAAGATGACACCGTTCATGATGACCACCACGACGGATCCGCCATCCAAATTGTTTGAAGTCCGATCCTTCACCCCGGTCGTTTTACCATATGCTGCTTGCGTATTTCTTCGTATTTTTAGATTTTTTTTTTTTGTAATTTTTAAATACTAAATGAAAAATTTCAGAGAGTAATCACTTAATTAAGTAATTAAACGTGTCAAAATGTTAGCAAGAAAACAAAATGAAAAACGTAAAAGGGACAGACACAAATAATAGAAAACCGCCAAAAAAAATCCGGGTATCTCCCCGCGGCGCCTACATTCATGATTCATTCATTGGACAGCAGCTTCCGTTTCCCTGCTCATCTCCAAATCTGTCGTACCTTTACTCAAACACTCTATCAAAATCCAAATCTCTCTCTCTCTCTCTCCCCTAAAACACATGATCGCCGCTAATTCTCCGCTCAATTCCGCAATCCTCACCCTCCGCACCGCCGACCCGACCCGAAAGCACTGCTCTTTCGAGCCCCTGTGTTCCAGCAACCACCTAAGTTTTAGCTCCTCCGAGCGTGGGTTGTGCATCACTCGGACCCGGATGGACTTGCTCCGCCGATTTGTTACCGGAGGATGCGTCCGTGACCCCGATCGCCAGGGGATAAAGGTGGAGATCGATAGCGGCGGCAAAGATGTATTTGCCGCCGACCCCAAGGGCAGCGGCGTGCCGGAACATCTAGTCATAATGGTCAATGGAATCATCGGCAGGTACCTCTTCTTCCCAATTTTTTCAATAAATGCATGTGTAGAATTATAGTGTAACATTATGTGATAATATTGAGCTGCCATATCAGTAGAGAAGTGGATTTGTGGTAAATCTAATGGCAAGATGATTTATGTATGTTATTGACTAGGCTAGACCGATACAGAAACTTGGGTTCGTATTGTGCTCAACTCGCAAAAGAGATACGCCAAAATCGAACAAAATATCGAGCTTGTTAAAATCAATCTCAACTTTGTATAGGCAGTTCAAGTTTCATCAGGTCGAGATCACTTTAGTTTGACTTGAGTGACGGATAATTCAATTGAGCTTGACTTGTAAGAATCGTTGTTTTCTCGTGTCCAAACCAAGCCAAGATGAGCTCAGGATTGGCTCATCCTATATACAAAGCAAACCAAGCTCAACCTCGGAAAGCAATGCTCAACCCGAGCTTGACTCCAGCGTACTTCAGTCAAGCCAGGCCTAATCATCCCAATACTTAGCTTGATTTAGATCATTTACACCCCTCTGCATTGCCTCTTTGGGAATCTCATTGGTTTAACATAAGTAGAGCCTTGCATAAAAACAAAAACTACATAAAACGCTGTAGCGCTCAAACCTGCCCTCAAAGAGGATGTGCAGATGAACAAGAGTTGAATCTCATCCCTTAAATCATTTTTGTGCCCGTACTTTGTGTGCCGATCTGTGGTTTCAAATAGTTATTCTTCCTATGTTTGAGCTTTTGACAGACTTCTCTTCAAATATCAGTCTCTATTTAATTGAAGATATTCTCATTTTAAGGCCTCGCTTGGTGTCTAGAACCTTATTGGAATGGATAACCCACAGCATTGAAGGTATGTTTGAAGGAAGAAATGAATGAATTTTGTCCAACTTGAATGTAGGTGGATTACTTATTAAGAAAATTTCTCCATTCCAATCATTAACCAAAATGGTAGGATTAGGAGGGATAAGTTTTCATGTCTAATGCCCTCGAAATGAAAAATCATTAACCTCTACCTTCAATATACCTTGAATATAGTGAGTTATCTATTCCAATTCAATCCTAGAGACCAAGCGAGACCTAAATTCTTATTTTTGTCCTTCCCTGACAAATATTTTCTTTGTCATTTTGTAAACCTTTTTTTTTTTTTTTCTTTTTTTGCATGTCATGTGAAATTTTTTTTCCACGATTTCAGTGCTTCAGACTGGAGATACGCCGCAGATCAGTTTGTGAAAAAGCTTCCTGATAAAGTAATTGTGCACCGTGAGTGCTTCTTTTCACTTATGATTTATTTCTTACATGTGTGCCGAAGAGTCTTAATCTCCAACCGAAGATTGGCCAGAAGGCTCATTTTAGCCTTGTCACTAAAAACCATCTCCAACCGAGGGTCAAAGAGCGAAACATAATTTATTATTTAAATTTAAAAACTACAACAACTTAAATTTAAAAACTACAACTAAATTTTAAAAAATACAACTTAAATTTAATAACTACAACTAAAATTTAAAAAATACAACATATGTGAGAGGTTTTATTTAGAGTACTAAAAAAAAAAAAAAGGGGAAGTGGGTGGGAGATTCCCACATCGGCTGTGGGAGAGGAAGTAGGAAACAAAAATAAAAAAGAAGTGGGAGTCCCACATCGGGGGAGTGTAAAAAAAAAAACAAAGGAAGTGGGTGGCAGTCCTAGATCGGCAGTGGGAGAAACTTGAGCAACCTCCAAAGCTTATAAAAAGAACACCCAAGGCTTTAGTTAAACATACTTTGTGGGCCTATAATTAAATATTCTTTAAAACATTTTGGCCCAAAACCTTTACTTAAACATTTGTGTAAATAAATAAATATATAAAAAAATAAAAAATTATAACGGCTAGTTGACATCAATAAATAGCCGTTGGAAATTTGAAATCCAGCCCAACTGAGGGCTGGCTGGCTGGCTGGATTGGGCTAACCGGTTGGCCCTTTGGCCCTTTTAGATTCCGTGGGGCCCACGAGCCTTCTAGTCTGGCCCTCAGTTGGAGATGGTTTTCGGGCTATTTTCGGCCCTCTGACCCTCTAGACCCTTCGGTTGGAGATGGCCTAAGTATCTTAGTATATTTCCAATTTGTAAAATTTATTGAACGGGGAGGGTCAAGTTTAAAAATCCTGTTTCCAAGTCCCTTTTGTATCTAATATCTGTTAGTGATTGAAACTTGTAAATATGCAAGCTCCTCCTTGTTTGCTGCAAATTTACTTTAGGAATCATATTATTTCCAAAGTACATGATCTGTCTGACCTAGAATTTTCCCAGCAGGTAGTGAATGTAACTCTTCAAGACTGACATTTGATGGTGTTGACTTGATGGGTGAGAGGCTAGCTGAAGAGGTATTTGGTAATAGCATATTAGTCCGCATATTTTAGCATAGCATGCCTTGGTTTATGATACCAAAGTGGGCATTTTTTGAACCATAATAAAATGCTTATGGTACTCACCAGTGTATAAGAAAACTGCAAAGATAAATCTCAATATTATAAAGTTATTTATTTCAAACTTTGGGCAAATGTTAAATTCCATAGCTAAAAATAATGCAGGTATTAGCTGTCGTCAGAAAGAGGTCTGAGGTGCGGAAAATATCTTTTGTGGCTCATTCCTTGGGGGGTTTGGTTGCAAGGTATGCCATCGGAAGGCTGTACAAACCTTTTCCAAAATCAGAACCCTCGGGTCAAAATGGTAATTGTGTAATTGAAGGGCATACAAATAAGTTGACACAATCCATTGACCAGCCTCACCATGGTACAATTGCTGGACTGGAAGCAATGAACTTTATAACAGTCGCAACACCACATCTTGGTTCAAGGGGAAATAAACAGGCAGGAAATTCTTATTTTCTTCATATTTGCTATGGATAAACAAAATTGAGCAATTTACGCACACAAATGATGACTATATAAAATGTAGTGATGAAAAGTAGCTGCGAATTGAAGAATTCCTTTTATTACTTTCATTCTACATTAGAGAATCTTGTAAGAAAATATGGAAGGAGTCTTGTGAACGTAAATTTTTTAACTTTGTTTCCGCAGCTCCCTTTTCTCTGTGGTCTTCCTTTTCTCGAGAGAAGAGTTTCTCAAACTGCACACTTTATTGTTGGGAGATCTGGGAAGCATCTCTTCCTAACAGACGATGATGATGGCAGACCTCCTCTTCTTCTTCGAATGGTTAACGACTGTGATGACCTAAAATTCATGTTAGTATTAGTATGTCCATAATTCTCCATGATATCCCGAAAGATTGAATTATAATAATTTTTAGATGGTAATATATATTTTTCTTGCCTGTGCAGATCGGCTTTACGTGCATTTAAGCGCCGTGTAGCATATGCTAATGCAAATTATGATCGTATCCTTTTTCCTGTTTATTTTGCTATTAAAATCTGATTATATGGTATATTTGCATATTTTCACTTTGGAACCAGTTGAACTTGTTTATGCTGACTTAATTTCAAGATATGGTTGGGTGGAGAACATCATCAATCCGGCGTCAAGATGAACTTCCAAAGGTAAGCCTTCTTGTTTTCTCTTCAATTGCCTATCAAGGTGTGCCTATCTGTTATGGTTCCAAACTGACTCCATTTTATTGTTCTGTTTTTTTTCCTTCAATTCTTATTTGCAGTCCAATCTACTTGTAACCAATGAGAGATATCCACATATCGTATATATCAAGCGAGAAACTTTTGATGATATTCATATGAAAGCTTCTTCATCTGCTCATGACGTAAAAATAGACTTGGAAGGTTTGTCAAACTTATCTTCTGAGTTGTGCGTAACTATTGGAAAAAAATTACAACCTGAGCTTTGGCCCAAATGGTGATGAGGGATGAGTGGGGACTAGTTGAATCCTAAGTTTATTTCTTTCCACCAAGGTTATGAGGACATACGTTTTCAATTTATGTGGACTCAGTGCTTTAAAAATTGAAAGTTGATCTTGTTAGCAATTGGTGTGTTATGTAAATACTCTTCATGTTATGTCAGCAGTCGGCACATATAGATACTTCTTGAACATTCCGTAAATGTGTTGCACACACTATCTATATGCATCATAGTTGGTGATCCACATTCGTGGATCATTTATTATGTGTTCTGTTACGATCACAACCAAAAAACATACTGGCTACTTCTATGGATTGGAAGAGAAAGGTGGTGGAAAGTAATAGTGTGGTTTGGCAGTTATTTGGATAAGGGAAAAAGAGGAGTGGTCGTCAGGGGAAGCACAGAGTATTGTTTCTTATTATATGTATTCATCACCGAATACATATTAATTTTCCTTTCCAGCATGCATCTTATGGCTGTTACAAGTATTTTCTCTGCGTCCCTTATTATTGACCTCGTGACAGAGTATTGTTTCTTATTATGATTTTCATATATTCAAAGTTTACTTTCAGTTTTAAGTAGCGTTTGTCCTTTCCTGTGTGTAGAGGAGATGATTAGAGGTCTTACTCAGATACCTTGGGAACGTGTGGATGTCAGCTTTCAAAAAAGTACACAACGATACATCGCTCATAATACCATTCAGGCAAGTTTTGGTTGGCCCCATTAATACTCGTAAAGTTCCCAATTAGCTATACTAGTAACTAGTAACAACATAGTCTCGTAAAGAAGCGTGTTGTGTTCTGTGTTTTCTTTTTCTTACATGTATCTATTCCCTCATACATACAGGTGAAGAGCTATTGGTTGAATTCTGATGGTGCGGATGTGGTTTTCCATATCATAGATTACTTCCTTCTCTAAGGGCTTGTAGAAGTTTTTATTTTTTAGTTTTTCTGATTGGCGATTCAACAACGGATTAGACTGCTACTTTATTGTAATTTTTATCATTTATAAAGCTTATCAGGTACATTGCCCACCTTGAAGGTAATGTGATGTATATTTGACGTCAAATGTAAATGCAGAGATGTGTAATTTTTCACTATGGTTTCAAGCCAGTTCCGAAATGTCAGCTCCTACGTGAACGCATGTACAAGGTCTTGTAACGTGAGGCTCTCCACCTTAAGGTCCGTTTGATTACCATTTTGTTCTTAGTTTTCATTTTTTGGGTGCTCGAGATATTAGGAAGGTATATGGGTAAAACAATGGATGAAGAAGAGGGATTGATTTTGTGCAATTTCCTCTACATTCCTTCAGTTCTCTATATCCCTCATTTCTCCCATGTATTTCCCTCAACCTCAACACAAAAATGAAAAACTCAAAGCGAAAACGCTTATCAAATGAACCCTTCAGACAACAGAGACAATTCCTGAAAGTTAGAAAATCACTGTGTGTTGGATAAGAAACTAGAGTTGATGCTCAAGGAAAAGTTGGAATTTTGTACGGTTGGCATGTAAATCTTGGGATTTAGGAGATGTTTACAACTAAGATTTTAAGGGAGTTGGAAAGCGTAGCTGTACGTGGAAGAAAACGTAGACATTGCCACTACCGCCATTGTCAGCTTATAACCACCCAAGGTTGCACTTTTACGAACACTCCAACTTTCAGGGGTATGCGGTGCCAAACGTGGAACAGAGTTGCACGAATCAGAGATCACACGGATTCTGTTCCACGCGAATTAGATTCGTGCAACTCTGTACCAAACTACTATAATCGATTGCGTTTGAAAGTTTCAGAAACATGTCCTTGCTTGGATATGAAATCTCTCTCTGGAGAATTTCGGGAAAATTAATATTTATTTACTTTCAAATACAGTACAAATGGAGAATCACAAACACTGTGATCCCCTGTCATCTTTGACAACTTATTTTGTATCAAAGGTGAATGGGAAATTGTTAAAATTAAATACACAATAAAATTTGAATTTTGAAGCAAGCAAGAAACGTTCCTCTTCTTTCTTTTCTGCTTGCAAGGAGAAAGCTTTGCAAAAGAATCAGGTTTTTCTACTCTAGATTTACATCTTCCTTTACGATCCATCAGGAACTTGGTCTTGAACGGAAAAAAAGAAGCTCGTCAAGACGATGAATAACCGCGGTAGTCTTTGATTGTTCTGTAATTCGTCTCCTCAGAGCTGCATATAATTATCGAAAATACAACTAGTCAGCCAGCTGCAGCAATCTATGGTATACCGTTATCTTTCTTGACACATTGCAGAATGGTTTCGGTTTACCGTTCTTTTTCTTCGATACTTTCTCTATCGGTGTTGACAGCCTCAGATTCTTGCTTCGGTGATGAAGCAGCGGCTTTGTCTGTCAGCTGACTTGATAAACTTTTACAGAACTGAGATCATTTTCAACAGAATATTGTCTCAGTAAGTAAACATTTTTTTATCATAAGTGCATATTTAGCTAACGGATATGGTGATCATACTTCTTTGTACGGTCTAAGCTCCCCTGCAGATCTTGATATTTCAACGACGCAATTCGTAGGAGCAACTTCAATCACCTGCCATTTTCGCCTGGATGGTCAGAGATCGAACTTAAAATCCTCTATTCACGACTCATTCCAATGTATGGCAATTTCTTACCTCTGCTGATATGTCAATATATGATCTACAGCATCTAGTCATAATCTGTTTTGCATGCATTTTCATCTGATGAAAAAATAAAAATAAAAATCACCATTAGTTGGCAGGAAAGAACTTTGATAAGCAGATGAAGAGGCAATCGAATATGATTTCCGTGTACCCTGAAGTTGTTTGTTCTTGCTACTGAAAGGCTCGCATCTGTTGCAGCAGCTTCTATTTTCTTCATGGTTTCAGTAATGGTATGCTTGGATCCAATCCTTGTTTTCTGCTTGTTCTCGTCCTAAATTAAGAGTACGGTTCAGCATTATTACACGTTATAAGCGAGAAAAAAAGAAAACAAACAAAAACAGTAGGATTATAAATATTTTAGGATATCTTTTCCTCCATTGTGAACTTGCCTGTTCCTCGAAGAGACCTGACAGATCGAGATCATTTGACATGGCTATCAATTGGAATGCATTTATAAAACTTGAGGATCTTGGAATTTTTGTCTCCGCCACGTTCTCCTGCAAGGAACAAATAACAATTGTACAAAATCAGATATGTATATGCAGTGAAGGTGAGATTCTAGCATTTTTCTCCGTGTTACAATCATGCGGAGCTTTTACCTCAATCGAATCAAATGCAGCATTAACATCATCAAGGTAGATTTTTTCGTCACTATCATTTCCATATGTGGCCACATAATCTTGTTGAAACCATTCATTTTCGATGATCTCTGGTATCGTTATCCGCTGCATTGATAAAAGGAACACATATATGAGGCCGTGTAATGAATCCCAACACGCTATCGCAAAATGCTTAAGAGTGTGGAATTTAAGCATCAGAGCTATACCGTTCTAGGATTTGGATCAAGTATTCTGGAGATGAGCTTCTTCTGGCTTTCTGTAAACCACCGCGGAATTGTGTATTCTGCTCTGGATATCTTTTTGTATAAGCTCATAAGGCTAGATTCATCAAATGGTAGATGACCAGCTAATAATTCGAAAAGAATCACTCCAGAAGACCAAACATCTGCAGCTGCTCCATCGTACACCTTACTCAGGATCAGCTGTTCACGAGTATTGATATCGTCAAACCATCTGATGAAATGAAACTCAGGGTATGACTTTTGTATGTATCTATAACCTGCATACCTCGGGAGCTACATAACTTGGAGAGCCGCATTTTGTCGACAAAAGGTCACCAGGCTGTCGATCATCAAAGTTTCGCGCAAGCATCAACACAAATCGTCAGATTTCAATAGTAAAATTAAAATAACTGAACAACGGCTCGAGAACATAAGGATTTATGCGGCTACCTTACGCAGTGCGCTGAGTCCAAAATCGGACATCTTCAGCGTTCCATTACTGGCTAGAAGCAAGTTTTCAGGCTGTATACGACAGCATAGTCAGTTGAGGAAGCTCCAATTGTGAAAAAAAATGTTGTAAATTTAGGTTTTACTCACCTTTAGATCTCTGTGATAGACACCTCTGTTGTGACAGTAGTCCATTGCATCAATCAATTGCTGAAACAGCTTTCTTGCCTCCCCTTCACTAAATCTTTTGGCATACAACTTTTTAAGAGTTTGAAACAAAATTAGATAAACTTGTTCACTTCAATCAAAAGCAACCCGAATCACCAGATTTAAAATCGGACTCGAAATGTAAACTAATCTCACCATCTTGTCTGAGAGTTGACCTCCAGATACATATTCCATAACTATGTAAATTTTTGTCTTTGTTCCTATGACCTGTAAGTGAAAATTTTGAGAAACAAAAAGATCACTATTAATTCAAGAAAAAATTGATGCAAAATATGTTCAACCGATAATCTTTTAACGCGTTAAGATACATACCTCGTGAATGCGAACAATGTTGGAGTGGTTGAGAAGCTTCATTGTTCTAATTTCTCTCTGGACCTGTAATTTTGGGCAACAATTTGTTCTGTTTTTCTTTAATTTCTCCAAAACAATAAATCAAAAAGAAGAAAAAATGAAAGGTTTGGAAATATGCCTGATTCTTGAGATTGGTTTGCATCACCATATGCTTATCCAGGATCTTGATTGCAACATACTTGCCATTGGTGCTGTCGAGTGCCAACTTCACCTTGGCGAAAGTACCTTCTCCAATCGTTCGCCCGAGCTGGTACTTCCCTACGTTGCTGGCAACTCCCATGTTTCTGAAGCGAATTCTCAGAGAAACCAAATCATAAACTAATGCGACGTGCTCCCGCTTCTTGTATGCCAACAAACAATTTATTCTTGTTCCTAAATAAATCTCCTGCAAATGTTTCTTGAATTGTTATATGACCGCCGCTGCTGCAACTCTTGTTTGAATATTGAATGGAACAAATCAAACTTGGCAAGTAGTTCGCGTTTATTTGTAGTAGCTGCCATTCCATACTTATGGTGCTGAATTGGTGACATTAAATAATTTGATATTATGAGGGCTACACTTCGGTGACTAGTTGTGGTTCTTAAATAATGCTAGCTACAAAGGAAGAAGAGTTTCCCATTTTGTTTGACAGTTTGGCAGTTTGAGAGAGAGAGAGAGAGAGAGAGAGAGAGAGAGAGACAGAGAGAGAGAGATAGAGAGAGAGAGACAGAGAGTCGCTGCATGGAAATGACTGGCTTGGCTAGTTGGTATGAACTGTGAACGTGTTTTGAATGGAAGGTAGCCGTTGATATCTGGGGCCATATAGAAAGGGTTTTCACTTGGAAATTTCTGTCTTTTATTTTTTTATTTAAGAAAATTATCAACCACTTAATGCTACAGTCTAGTAGTATTCTTTTTAACTTGGTAGTGCAAATAGTTGTATAAAAAAATGAATACTATTTAGACACGTAATGCTAGGGATATCATATTTTTGTGAGGTCACATTGCAATTAATTTGTATTGCCTCTCTCTACTATAAATGAACCTCACTATTATTAGTGCTATCCATACATCCTCTCAATTATTTAGCGTCAAGTCGAATAAATTAAAGAAGATTAATGACAAAAAATTAACAAGAAGGTGTTAGAGGTAAAAAAATAAGTGTGAATATTATCCTTATTATTATTATTACAACAATAAGGATAGATAATTACTCTAATTTCATCTTAACTCGGAAAGTGATTTGAACTTGATTGCAGCTTGGTGGAGCACACTATTCTAGCAAACTTATCTAAGCTCAAATTTACATCTTTTTTGTTTCGGTCAAGCCCAAATTTACATCGATTTTATGAATTTTGGAATATAAAAGGTTTTCATATGGATAATAAGTCAAGGACAAGAGGGACCCATAGATTAGAATGATGGTGAGCAAAACCAAACACAATTGTGTAACACAACGTTGTTATCAAAGGAAATACAACCGCCCAACCAAGCGTGGGTCATATATTTAACAAAATGAAGTCATACTAATGGAAATGGTTGGATATGGTTTTTTTTCAATGCAATTGGGAAATTAAAGGAAACCCGGAAATTAATTAA